TAGTAACCAAATTAACATATTTTATTTAATGAAGGATTACAGTAGAAGAAATCAATAGTAACCAAATTAACATATTTTATTTAATGAAGGATTACAGTAGAAGAAATCAATAGTAACCAAATTAACATATTTTATTTAATGAAGGATTACAGTAGAAGAAATCAATAGTAACCAAATTAACATATTTTATTTAATGAAGGATTACAGTAGAAGAAATCAATAGTAACCGTTTAGAATGGTTTTGATAATTCATATTTGTGTCACAGTCACGTGCTTGTTTGTGTCACAGTCACTTGCAAAGCAACACAAGGGCTATCTGCTCTAGCCGTCCTGAATTTTGAGGTGATGGACTAAAGAGAACTAGTTAACAGCACCCACCGCCAACTCTTGGGCTGCTCTAATCCAATAGTGGGATTTGCCATTCACTATTATAACGCAACCACGGTCCCAAAGTGCGGACGGCGATCTTGCAACAACGAGACGCAAATCGGGGATCCTCAGGATTCACAGTTCAACACACTAATCCCTAGTATACGCCAGTATCAGAGTCATTTGTAACAGTAGATGGAACACTGAACGACAAATATAGACTTTCCTGAATTAAAAATGATCTGTATACCTGTTACACAAACCTTAATAAATTATAGTCTTACACAAAATTATATTTCCCGAGTTGAGTACAAGTCAAAGAAATGCTCAAATTGTGTTGTTCAAATAACAATATTTTGCTGTAGGAGAGTGATTAAATCTTATAAGCAAGTGAAAATGATTTTCACAGCACCCCTCTTGCTCTCAGGTAACTAAACACAATTGTTTGTTGTTTTGTTTTTTTTCAAGCTTATTATAAACGTCAAAAAAAGTCCAGGAAACGAGGTGTTTTATGTCAAGTACAATTTTTTTTTATGTCTAAGCTATGCACTTAGACAAAAACAACAAAACACAACTAACTTTCATGGTAGAACACTATTGGATCAGAACTTGTATCAACACTCTAAAATCTAAATTAACAGCAATGAAAGGAAAAGAAATGAATAACGAAACATATGAAAAGTCGTTACTAACACTTAGCTAAGCCTAATGGCTGACTTTAGGCTTATGAAAAACTAACAGCATATTTAAAGAAATAATTACATCTGAAACATAAAAGGTACTCATTATAGCTTTCACGACCTTACAATGTAGCAATAAAATATCTATCATGACAAGCATTCTGTTAAATTCATATAGAACACGCATTCGTACCGTTGAATCATATTTATATGACCTTATGATGGCGAACTGAAACGTTGATAAAAAATAAAATACAAATGCGTAAGAAAACTCTCGACAAAATATGCAATAAGATCGTTAAATTTCACAAATATATTGCGAAAGAACTGAGAGTTATACTTTTTTTTCTTTTTTTAAGAATATTCGAGCAAAGTTACACAAGAGCTATGCGCGCAAAGCCGTCTCTATTCTTGGATGGAGTTGAGGTAAGGCAGCTAGTCAACAGCACCCACCGCCATATATCTTGAGCTGTTCTTGTGTGGACGAATAGTGGGAATTTATGAAATAAAAGGCTTATGTTATTTATATATCTCCTCCATTTTCAAGTGTTTTGATATTTTGTTCCGCGACATCTTCAATTAACGTTTTATCTGCACAAAGTTTAGCCAGTGATTTATATATTTTAGGTTTTTTTTTCAAATTTTGTATTTATGGTAAAGTTACTAAGACTATCTGCCACCTTCACTAATTTTTAAGTACTGACCAATGATGAGACAGCGAGTCAGCAGCACCCACAATTTACACCAATGGATTGACTGTCACTCTTATAACGCACCCAAAGCTTAAAAATGTCTGGGATATTTTATGATGTCTCACGGACTTGAATCCCGCTCGCCAGCTCCGAAATCTAGAGTTTTTACCCCAAACCGCGACCCCCTTTAGGCTTAAATGTGTCATATTTCATATAGATATTTCTTATTTAGAAATTGTTATTATAGATAATATCTTTCAGTAACACCAACGTGTCTATTGGGTTACATATACGTATTGCTTACTTTCTTCTTCTTCTTATAGCATCTATTAACCTATGTACGAAGCGAACAAGGCAACGTAGAATAACAGGATTTAAAGATCCCTTTCGTTCCCACTGTATTCATTATGGATCCTCAATAATCCATGTAAGACCTAAGAATTCTGTCTAACGATACGTCTAACTTCCCACGAGTTCCTCATGTCCTCCCTCTGTTTCTTATGTGAGCTTCCAATTCTAAGCCACCAACCTTGGGGCACGTGGCCAGCAAGTTCTTCTGAAGACAGTGACGAAGAGTTTGCTGACGAACTGGAAATAGATTTCCCAATACCGTTGGCCGGAGGACTTGAAGAGCTTGTTGCTAGAGGCAACGTGTTCCACGAAGAATGTTTGACTTGCGACTCTTGTGGTGTCCTTCTGGCCGATTTCAATTTTTGCGAAGCTAGAAGGTTTCACAATAGGATCTACTGTCAGATACACTATGCCGATGTTGCCGGCCTTGCTAGAGGAGAAGAATTAATGCAGAAGCTCAGGCGTTTCAAGAAGCAGAGCCACGGCTGTGCTGAAGCTAGACGAAAAAGCTCTACAACTCTGATATTCCCTGTCCCTCCTCAAGCGTGTCCCGGCAGTCCCTGCAGGTGTCATCCCCACTTCATCAAAGCCACGCCTGGCTATTGGATAGAATGCAGCGGAGAAGACATTTCAGACTTTGGGGAGTTATCCCGAAACGCAGAGGAAGAAGAAGATGACGGTGAAGGGTTCTGTAAAGGAAGTCAACGACGTGCCAGCTCCACAGAGAATGACGTCTTTCAATTAACTTCAATCGAAGAGGAGACCTACGAAAAACACTTCTATGGGACAGAACACTGGAACTACTTCACGAACGACGAAGACCTGGGGCCAGTGGTCCTAAGTTTTAAACAGGAGAACATCACCAACAGAGACCAATTTAGGTGAGATTACTTTAAGATTACAACCAATTGCATTATGTCTGATAGTCCACGTGATTCGTATTAGTTAAGATTAATGGCAGAGAGTTTGTTTGTTTTTTAACGTTAAGCACAAAGCTACACAATGGGCTATCTGTGCTCTGCCCACCACGGGTATCGAAACCCGGATTCTAGCGTTGTAAGTCCGCAGACATACCGCTGTGCTACTGGGGGGCTAATGGCAGAGAGAGTCGATTTTTAAAATAGACGCGTTTTATTTTGCAACTGTATAAAAATGGCGAAATATATTCATTTATAATAATTAAGTTTTATTTATGTTCTAGTTTACATGTTTCTGTTTTGGTAATTTATAGGTATCCCCTCCCCCCAAACAGAACACATTACGAAAAAAATACAGTCTTCTTCTGCCTGTTTGAAAATACTCTCACATTATAGCACGTGAAACCGTGAGTAAAGAGCCCCCACCCTGTGGCTCAGCAATAAGGTTGAGGGTTCATAACGCTAAACATCAGGTTTCGATACCCTCGGCGGCACAGCAAAGTAGCCCATTGTGTGGATTTGTGTTTAATAATAAGCAAACTGAGTAATGAATATGCAGTGAAACTTACTAACTGGTGGTAATGTTTTATTGTCTTTCAGTCTTTTTAGTAGTACACACTAGATGGATTAACACATTTTGATATAAAGTTAGAAAATAAAACGAACTTTACACTCCGGGTAATTAAAAAAGAACTTATATTTTAACCGACGTTTCGCCTTTTCGGGGCTAATACATAAAACTGTCTGACATTACAATATTCGTTAAATTATATCAAATAGTTTTATGTACCAGTGGTGTAGGAAAGAGTTACAAAGTGGGGGTGCTTGGTTAGACATGCAGATTTTACAATGAGACATTGAAGATTGCCCCCCCCCCTCAGAAAATTAATATAACTTATAGTTATTATATATGACAAGTATGTAAAAGCAGTTCCGATGCCTCTGTGTATTAATCCAGAAGATGCCACAATGGCGAAACGTCGGTTAAAATGTAAGTTCTTTTTTAATTACATCGAGCTTAAAGTTCGTGTTTTTTTTTTCGAACTTTTTTTTTTTTATCAAAATGAGTTAATTTGTTTTGTTTGTTCTAGAGCAAGGCCACTTTGGGCTATCTGCTGCGTCCACCGCGGGGAATCGAGCCCCGGATTTTAGCGTTGTAAGTCTGTAGACTTACCGCTTTCCCATCGGGGGACAAAATGGGGTAATTTGTTAAACAATATTTATGTATTTCAGCGGAATTGAATGAAATTATCTGATATAATTAAGATATATTGATATCAATATAATCATTTTACCTTGTAGATGTTGACTTGTTTATAGATGTTGACTAGTTTATAGATGTTGACTAGTTTATAGATGTTGACTTGTTATTAGATGTTGACTTGTTTATAGATGTTGACTTGTTATTAGATGTTGACTTGTTTATAGATGTTGACTTGTTATTAGATGTTGACTAGTTTATAGATGTTGACTTGTTATTAGATGTTGACTTGTTTATAGATGTTGACTTGTTTATAGATGTTGACTTGTTATTAGATGTTGACTAGTTTATAGATGTTGACTTGTTATTAGATGTTGACTAGTTTATAGATGTTGACTTGTTATTAGATGTTGACTAGTTTGTTATTGGAAAACTTTCTTTCACAGATAAAGATCCATCAACTTTTTTTATTTTTAATTTCCATACAATAAAATTAATATTTTGTAACAAAGGCTTCGGTGACTAGAAGAGCACTGTGTTTTTTCTGTTAATGTAACCTTATACATGTCATGATGAAGAAAATAAAGATAGCTGTAGCAAACAATAAATATTGTCTAAATCAGAACACTCAGATACAAATAATTACCTTACATTTCATTCAGTAGCTCCCCCCTTCCCCCAGATAACCCATCGTGTAGCTTTGTGCTTAATTACAAACAAACAAACATTCAGTAACTGCCTTCTCTCCCAGTGGCACCGTTGTGCCTGTGGAGTTACAACGCTAAAAACCGGGTTTCGATACCCGTGGTGGGCAGAGCACAGGTAAACCACGGGTATCGAAACCCGGTTTTTAGCGTTGTAAATCCACAGACATACCGTTGTGCCACTTGGGGGGGAACAGTTGCTACACAATGGGGGGCAGAGCACAGATGGCTCATTGTGTTGCTTTGTGCTTAACTTCAAACTAACAAAAAACAACCATTCAGTAACTACATATTTGATAGGAAAGCATGGGTTTATGTATCTATTTCGATGGGCCTGTCATGGCCATCTGCGGGTTGCGAGTTCGCATCCTGTGTTATAAGTGAGAGCCAATCCCACTGATCGTTGATAGTCCAAGAGTTAACTGCGGATGGTGTTGATAGCTGCTTTCTTTCTAGTCTATAGTCTATAGTTTTTGCGCGAAATTTCACAAACAAACAAAACCTATTTCTACTATTAACACTAAATCGGTGGCTCTTAAACCTTTTTGTCCACGCAGAACACTTCGGGGAAGGGGGACTACTCCACCCCCGCTTTCGCTTGCCATAGTTTATTTTGTTTGTTTGTTTTGAATTTCGCGCAAAGCTACACGAGGGCTATACTGCGCTAGCCGTCCC